AAGATATAACAAAGTTATAATTCCCTCTCTGGAGTTGCTGATCTGTTCCAGCCTCCAAGAGAGCTGGGACTATGGGTACGCTTAATCTAACTCTAGCAACAGAACTTCACTAGTTTTAGATAGTCTGAAGTACAAAATGCAAGTATAAACCTACAAGAGAATAACTCAGCAAAACAAACCCCTCTGTAATCATCAAAGACTGTTCCCTCTATTATTTTAAGTAAGCAAGTAACAAACGTAAGAATCTCAAAACCATTAAGTATATCAAAAATGTTATATAAGAGGCCTTCAGCACAATCAAACAATTCTAAGTAATTCTATGTAAACCTAGGAAATCTTTATTGTAACATAAAGAAGGGATTTTGGTAAAATTTACCACATTAGCACTGAGCTGAATGTTCAGAAGTAAGATCCTTTACAGTATTGAAACAATTACTCTCCAGTCTTACTTGCTCACTTCTTGCTTTTTGGCTTTCCTATTACATGGCAAATGAAAGTCCTAGAGGCTCTATTACAGACTTCTAGAACAGAGCACATACATGACAACTTCCCCACATGCTACACCCCAGCAAAAGACGTCTTCAGAAGCACCACAACAATTTGTCATCAGTGGAACCTAAAGAAACGTCAGGGATTTGGGATTTCTTAGCAACCACTGCACTGAAACTTCACATTAGGGCAGATTGAACTCAGTTCTTATTAACATTGACCAATTCTTTTTCCTGATTGACTTCTTTCCCTTCAACTTCGTAAGACTAAAAATAGTCTTTAAACTACTACTCCAAAGCCTCACAAAAACACTACCTCCTAAGACCACCTCCTCTCAGCTACTTACCTTCTGGCTTGTGGCCCATCCCTCCTCTCACACTCTTCCACAGTGACTTCCATGTTAATGGATCCCACACTCTAAGGTCAAAATCCACTTCATTATCTTTTTCCATCCTAGATTTAACTCACATCCAGCTCTCCTCCAAAGAACACTAGCCTTACAAACTTTTCGAGGAGAACTGCTCATTCGCCCTTTCTCCAGTGGCAAGGATACTCTCTCCTAGGTCCACATGGTTATTTTCAAAGCACTTCTCCTTTACTCTGTACTTCTGTACTTTGTACAAAATGTACTCCTTTTCTTTGAAGATTATAGCATTAGTGGTTTTCAATACTGAATTAACCTTAAGATTCTCTTCAAGAATTTAATTCTTATGTTTTGATACCATACTGTCTCATCTGCTCAGAATTTGATCTTTCAAGTATCCCTTTTTTTCCTCTGTATTTTAAATCTTCCCCTATATATAAAGAAAAGCAATTTCAACTCCATTCTTCTTTTTAAAATTTTTATATTATCTCCTCTTCATGCTAAAGCTTTCCAAAAGTAAGTCACACATGTGTACTACTTTGCTGGTACATCAAAGTCCTTGGATTCCACACTCACTCACACTCCACACTTGTACCCATTCTAGTGACAACGGCGAGAATCACTAGAAAACCCAGTATGAAATCTATGAGAAAAATCTCATCTTTGTCTTAAGAAAAATCTGCAAATATCACTGCTAGGTTTCCATGAACTAAAATCTCATCAAAACTGCTCTTTTTCTAACAACGCCAACTCTTACAACCAGAAAGACCTTAAACCAGTGGTGGCAAATCTACACCACATATGCTGCAGAGGGCTGTTTATACCACTGAAATCGCTAAATGGTTCTCATCATTGCAAAACCTTTTTTTCTCTTTTATTTCCTAACATTCAGCGGCTCTCCAAATTATGTAACCTGCATTATTACAGTATCATTTTACTGAAGGGCATATATACTTTTCCAAGCTTTCACTAGTACCTTTTCAACTGGCTTCTGTTATCTGTCTCATTTTCTTCTAGTCCAACAGCTAGATAACTACCAATACATTCTTCTGAAAATCCAGATTAGATCAAGGGACTTAACTCCCTTATTTAAAATCCTCCAATGGAATGCCACTGGCTACAGGATTAACTCCAAAATTCTTACAATGCCATAAGGTTCTGTGGCATTCATGATGTGGCCTTTGCCACCCTCAAAAGCTTCACCCCATGCTTTGATCCATAAATTCTTCCTTGCTTGTCTTGCACAGGCCTCTTTCTTTCGCTTAATAGGTCTTCCTCTCCTCCACTAAATTTGATATATGCTTTGCTCTTGCAGAGTTACACTGAAGAATATTTTGCTACTGCACCTTCTCCGACACACAAAGGCATTCCTTTTTTTATGCATTGCAGTGATCTCTCTGCAGCCCTATTCTACAGCCTGACCGTAAGGTCTCCCCTGAAATTGCTAAATGGGGCTCTCTATACATTGTTAAACAAAAGGAACTTTTCAGACTACACTTATGTATAAAGATTTCTTCCCGGTAGGAATAAGATGGCAGGAAAAATATTTTTTGTTATTTGACAATTTTAATGCTCCACTCAGCATTATGGCACCTTCTATATAATTTTGATAGTTCCAACTATGTATGAGATTTCTTATATCATTTGGCAAGGTAATCTGTAGAAAATTATTATTATTATTATTATTATTATTTTTTTTTTTTTTTTGGTGGAACCGGGGATTGAACTCAGGTCCTTGTACTTGCCAGGGAAGCACTTATTCCACTGAGCCATCTCCCCAGCCCTGAAAATTACATTTTAATACTGAATACAAAAACTGAATTTAGCTATTCAATAATGATACTTTAATAATTTTAACTGTTAGAAAAACCCACTACAGAATTGTTGGAATATGATCACACACACACACACACACACGCAGAGTGCAGCCACTATACATATAATCTATATAGAGATTATACTTAATCTAAAAAAGTTAAAATGTTATAGTATTCAAATTAGAAAAAACTAGTGATACATTTTTCAAAACAATTATGTCACTCACCATCCCCAGCAGGAAGTCCTCTCTCCTTTTTCTCATCACATTTGTTGCATTCACTGAAGTAAAGCAGCAGGAACATATCCAAAAGTACCCAAATCAAGGAGGTGGCTAGGACCACCTTGCAATATGCAAATTTTCTCATGGCACTTTAAGTCAAATGCAAAATTTTAAAATATATATATATAAATATACAAAGATCATGAAAATTATCCCAATCCACCTTCATCAGAAATCACGTTCATACCCTATAAAAAAAAAGGAAAATAATGAATGACTTAAAAATTTAGAACCTAGAAAATGAGTTAGTTAATAATGAAAATTAAGAAATATGACTTAATTTGATTAATATAACACTTTATGATTGTACACATAACTTACAAAGCAATACTCAAGAAAACGGGCGAAGAATATAAATGGCCACTCTGCAATAAAAATACATAAATAGCCAATAAATGTATAGAAACATGCTCAGTTCCCTATAACTTGACATAAAGTAACAGTGAACTACTATTTCACACGTCAAACACATTAGTCTTAACCTTAACTCTTTCTATTCAAATACTTCATTAAATGTTAAGGCACAACCCAAACAATTAATTGCCACAGGAGTTTAAACAACCAGTGTGATCCCAGCCTAGTTCAACCTCCAAAGCTTCAGATCCAAAGAGTTCTCTCTGCAACCTGTACTGCAGCAATTTAGCAGACTAATTTTTATCTCTCTTTTGTCATTGAAACCTATGCTAAAAACTGCACAGTGACTATCACCATGAAATATGGAAGGCAACAGGGATCTGAGACCTAATCTTGTTTGGACTTGTTGATTTTTAGTTTCTATTTCCATTCCCCCATCTTCCCTTATTCTGTTATATAATAAGAAAATGACTGGACAGACATCACCAAATCTGGAAAGGCATTTAGGACACTTAGATTAGACGTGTTTTTGGCACACAAGTAGTTCACCTTAGGGAGCTCCAGAGCAGTCAAAGAGACTTCAGAGAGGTAAAAAGTAGGCCCTTGAGTAGCTGACTCTGAGAATTAAAGATCTTTGTCACTGCTGATTAGGAGAAAGATAAGCCATGTGCATTCCAAGGAGGTAGTAAACAGACGAAACATGCTTTGCACATGTGTCCCATGTTGGAAGCCATGTAAGCATATTTGGAGAAAGATTAGGCTGACAGTAGCAGCTGCTCCTAGCAGCAATTTTATGTAACATGTTCCATGGTGGCCAGAGAGAAAGAACTATTTACCCAAACAATTCAGGACAGGTAAGTGGATATATCTTAATAGTACTTTTTCACAAGGTTGAGAGGTAGTAATCTGAATATAACTTGAAACAAATGCCAAGCAATACTTCCAAAGTCTATCAATAGATAAATGAATAAACAAAATGCAATACTTATACATAATGCAGTACTACTCTACCACAGAAAAGGATAACGTGAGTCATCTATAGAGAAATGGATTATCTTAAGACCATAATGTTAAGTAAAATAAATCACACCAGGTTAACTATCAGATGGTTTCTCTTATACGAGAAACCCAAATATAACTGGAAAAAAAAAAAAAAAAACAGATAATGGGAAGCAGGGAGATAAAGAGCTGGAGGGGGGAAGCAGCGAGGATGAAAGAAAATTGAGATGCACTATGTACATGTAACAAATCCCCACAAGGAATATAATCATTATGTAATGAAAACATATACTCATAAAAAATTATAACTGAAAACATTACTACATTTTAAAGAAATTATTATTAAAATATTATTACTCTGGGGACTTTGAACTCCTGCCTATCCTTCCATCAGATCACATTCTCTGCATGGTAAGAACAAGGATGCTACTGATATATTCCTGCCTCAAAATGATGCCTCTTTAATGTGACAGTTGATACTATGTCAAATGCAGTGTGTAGCTAGTGACAGCTACACTAATAGTGAAAGAAGTACTGGATGCAATGTCACAAAACAATAGTTCTCGCCATAGAAACTAGATAATAAATTTATACAGTGAAGTATTTCACATGAAAGTCTACCTCTTCCAATCACTGCCAAGGCATCTGATGCAATGGATTTCAAATGTAACTTTATAGTTTTCAAAATCTAATTTTTTTATTAATGTATAAGGGACCCAAGTATGCCTGAAAAATTTGCCTTTTTTTCTCCCTCAAAAAAAGGAAAGTGTATGTCCACACAAAGACCCACACACAAATCTTTACTGCAGTTTAATCATAATCACCAAAATCTGGAATAATCCAATTATCGGTCACTCGGTGAATGGATGAGCAGATTATAGTACAGGCTCAACATCTCTTATTCAAAATGCTTGGGACCAGAACTGTTTCACATTTCTGAGCTGCTCCAATTGTGCAACAGTCTCCATGGACTTTATGGGTATAGCAGCCCTAACATGCAGTCAGAAATGCTCCAAGGTCTAACACTTTCCGAGTGTCACCCTGGCACTCAAATTTCAAATTTCAGAGCATTTTAGATTTCATATTAGAGTTGCCCAACTTGTACATCTATGTAATAAAACAGTACTCAGCAACCTATCAACAAATTATTTATTATTAGTACCTCAAGTGTTACCCCAAACTTAAAGGTTATGGGAACAAGTTTATTACTCGGGGGTATTGATGATACAGATTGTTATAAAGTTTACTGATTCAAATATTCCCACCCAGCACAAATAATGTCTGATACCTTGATTAGTATACCAATTCATGAGGTAATAAATTGTACTAGCTTCTTGCAATATCGTGAAAGTTCATTATTATTCCAACTTATGAATATATGCTCCAATACAATGAAACTGGTAAATAAAGAAAAGGATAAACTCACATCCCAGTTAAACTCTATTAATATTCTTTTCAGTCATTAAGAATAGATTTATCATGTTTTAAAGTCTGTATTATCTATTTGGCTGAAATGCTGTAACATCTTAACTTTATTATGGGGTGGGGTAGGTATGGCTATAACATGGCAGCATGCAAGGCCTCTATGGTCATGCTGGTTTGTGTGACTATGTGCGTGTGTGTGTGTGTCCGTGTTGGTTGGTGTTTTGTTTCTCTGAGACAGGATTTCACTATGTAGTACAGTCTGGCTTTGAACTAACTATGCAGCCCAGTCCGGCCTTGAACTCTCAGTGATCCTAATGCCTCAGCCTCCTGAGTGATGGGACTATAGGCATGCACCACTATGGCTGTATTTTTATTTATTTATTTATTTAGTACAGGATCTACAAGGTCTCACTACGCAAATCAGACTTGTGGTGATTCTCCTGTTTTTAGCCTCCCAAGAGCTGGGATTGCAGGCACGCACCACCATGCCCAGTCTCAATCCCCCTCTCACTGTGCCATGGGGGTGGGGCTGGCACATTACCTATGACTGTATTTTTTAAAGAAATAATATGCTCAACAGACATTTGTTCCCACAACAATCACTGAGTAGTACATCTTAGGCAACATCATAATATTTTACTTTGCACTTCAAAATAGGCTTAATATCTACAAAGGTATTTAAAAGGGCGGCATTGTGTTTTACACTTGAACAGATACAAAGGAAGCTTCCTGGCTCATGACTTGGCCTTGTTCCAGTCCCATGACCACAGGGTAGTTAAATGACCTACCCAGGCCAACCAGAGAACCTGGCTCCTGGCCCCACCCTCCATGAGAGATCTGGGAAACTACCAGTCATACTGTCCACCATGTGGAAAATGGCTGCCTGTAGTCGAAGACTTGAGACTGAGGAGAGGCATGCAAAATGAGGCAGAGGGTTGTAATGGCGGCCAAGTCCTTGACTCTCAGCTCTGTGACTACCTAAGAATCCTATCAATCCTCTTTTTCTACTTAAGAGTCCAAATTGGGCTCCTGATATAACCATAATGCTTAGGAGGTGAAGGAGAGTATGAAGACTGGGTTTCTCCAAGCAAAATCCAAGAGGTTCTGGTGCACTGACGAATTTCCTCTCCTCTCTGCTCATCATAAAATCTAGAATATGTATAAGATGTTATAGAAATGAATGATTATAACAGAAGCTCCCTCCCCAATCTCATCTTTGTCCCAGCTCTTCAAAGGTAACCCGTATTCTGAAATTGCTACCCTTCTTTGTCCTGAGTATAACCCCATTGTTTTATTTGGGGTTATGTTTCTGGAACTGTCTATTCATGAGAAATTCTGAGATTTGATTCTATTTTCCTCCGAAGACTGCATTACTGAAATTTACCCGTATGCTGCATGTAGCTCTCTAGTGGTCCCTCGCTTACCATGGAGGTTACATTCTAGACACCCCTGTGATAAGTGAAAATCAGCAAAGTAGTGTCATTAGATTTATTTTAGTATTTATACATACTTTAAGGCTTTATAAACCCTTCCCACTCACTTATAAACCTTTCCCACTTCTAAAAACACAATGTTCTTAATCATTTTCTAAACTCATAAACCTACATAATTTTAACAACAACATATACCATACACTACCGCAAAAATCTGTAATAATTTAATTATTTTTTGAAAACCTGCGAAATAGTGAGTCTGCAAAAGTCAAACCGCAAAATATCAAAGGATTACTATAGTCCATTAATCTTCACTACTTAATAGTATTCTGTCACTTAACATAGTAGTTTCTCTACTCTCAATAAACATTTACATTGTCTCTAGACTTCTGCTATTACAAACTATAACCATACCTGAACATGTTTCCTGGTACACATGTGTAAGAATATTTATTTAGGGTACAGTGACTGGCAGATTCTTTTGGACAATAAAGATTTTTGGTTTTGTGAGTCATACCACCCCTTTCAACCTCTTGAGTCTCCCATGGTACTATGAAACCAGCTATAAAAGACTGACAATATTCTTTTTTTTTGTAAATTTATTTATTTTATTGAGAAACAAATAACAATGAGACAGTTTCAAAACAGGCTAGTAGGACAGTTACAATAATTAATACATTGTATATTGTTGTCTTTGTAGTAGTTATTCATAGCACGAGATGCAGACATGATATCCTGTCCAAACACTATTAGTAGAAATGTTACTTTTCAATGAATTAAGAGAAAATAGCTGTATATCTACCCTATTTCGTATATACAGATACAAAATGGTCCTTCATTTCTATCCCCTTTTTTTGTTTAGTTTTTTTTTTCCATAATTTTATTGAGAGATAAATAGCAATGAGACAGTTTCAAGAGACCAACAATATTCTAAGAATTTATGGTCATTAAAATTTGAATGCCATGCAATTTTCTCC